TTCATATTTTTTTTGTGTGTGTGTGTGTGTACATGTTGTTGTTTCCTCTCCCATTTTATCCACCTGATGGTTTATTGTTGATACTGCTGCCATTTAGCTGCTGCTGCCACCGCCGCCGTCATTTCCATCACCGCTTTTTTTGTGCTTATTTAATCAGAATTGAGGTCTATCCATCGCAGATTTCATTGTTACCATGTACATATAACAATCCATAACCACTGTCCATTTGGTAACGTTATTTTCTCCGTTGTGTTGTCTGTTTTTTTTTTGTGTTATTGCTGGAAAATGTTGTGCCAACGAATTGTGTTGGCCATAATTTTTAATAAAATCGATGTAAATGCGAATTTAAGTCTTGAATTGTTGCCCGTAAAAAGTTTAAAAAGTTTATTATTTCCGAAACATTCGGGATACAAAATTTTATGTCTCTTCTTTTATCTTTGTCGCATTTTGTAAATGGAAAAGTAACGACGGTGGTCAAAATATGGCAAAAACAAAAATCACACAACCAACCACACCAACAATAGCAATAAAAAGTAAACAATTCAATGTGTATTTTTGTGTTGTTTCGTCGTCGTTTTTTTTTTTTGTTTCACTTTTAGCAAAAGCGTAAAACGTCACTTCACTCTGGTATCCCTCATCTTTCAAACATCCAATTAATATAATTATGTAGAAAAAGGTTTTCGCAAATGTAGGCTTTGGATTTTCACAGAGTTTGTGAAAATAAAGTCATCCATTTATTCAAGCGCATTCGATATGGGGACTGAGAGGCAAAAAGTAAATAACAAAATTATATTTGATGAAGGTAAATAGAATTTGGAAAAAGAAAATAGGAAGAGAGAGTGTGCATATTTCTTGTTGATGACGACGGCGACGACGACGACGACGACGATGTTAACGATGCTCGGAAAAAGTGACAATGAAAATGGGGATCAAAAATAAAGTGAAATTTCATTGATTAATTAATACATAAAGTGATGAAATCGACTGCCGAACAGACCAGCACCGGGCCGGCAAATAAATAAATAACAATATAGAAAAACGTCGACCTATTAAATTTTCAAGGTGTGCTCGATGGAAAGCGCTCGCTGACATTGGATACAAACTATTCTCGGATTTAATAAGATGATTTGAGCGTCGATGCGTTTCTCATTACGTTATATGATTTGCCAATCAATCGATCATTCTTATGCTCAAATTACACAACAAAAATGTAAGAATTTCTCATTAATCGAAATCTAATGAACGGATTGAGCTATAACTACAAGATGATTATCTGAAACATCCATATTTAATAAATACACTTAGTATAATGAATATACTCAGCAAAATACAGATTTATTTCCGAAATTATATTTCGTAAAATTGATACTCAATGCTCTCATTTTTTTATGTCAAAAAGTTTTCAAGTTTTACACAACTAATCTCACAAACTTTGCGTTAACATTATATTGCAAATCGGTTGAGTGTTGAAAACGTGAGTGATTCCAATTGATCAATTTCTAAATCGAATGTAAACTTGCTTGCGGTGATTTTCAAAACTTTTCGTTGGGTTTTGGTAAATTTATGCGATTTTAAAGGCACTAGTTCCGGATAAAAATCTAATCGAAATTGGAATTTTCACCATTTACATTTCCTTGATGCATGTTAATCACTTCATTTATTCGATAAATCATGTCAGCTATAAGAACTTTTACATAACCAGAGTGTTTTACTTATTTTATAGTTGTTTAAAAAGAATTTTGAGTGATTGGATGTTAAATTCGTATATGATGTATGCAGGAAAAACGAAAACACCAACGAGAAACGACTTATGCACTCATATTATTTTCATTAATTTCGTTTGGCGTAATGAGAGCGAGTGAAAAGTTTTTCATCACATTGGATGCATTTAAATTTTTGGACGAACGAGAAGAATTAAATCTATCCTTCGAGAAAGCGGACCAAAGTTTTTTGTTTATAGAATCAAAAATCCGAAAATTGTAAATTTTAAACGGGGTTGCTGTTGTTGTTGATGATGGAAAATGATGAGCGCAGTAGTTCGTCGGCCATACAATTCCGTATATTCTAAATTCGGTTATGTCATGGATTTTTTTCAGGCCAGTTTTGTACAAGTATTGCGTTCGGTTGTGAAGCTTGTTAATACTCGAAGTTGTTTTATAATTTGATATACTGGCTAAAGTGATTGTCGGTTGCGAAAGGAAAATGAATGGCATCAGAGAGCATCATCATCGTACAGAAAGTTATATAAATCTTTTTCGTATCTCACAGTGTGGTTTTGGCAAAGAGTCACACTCACTTTTCTATGGTAATATACGAAACGAAAGAGCTATTAGCTTTGTACTCATCAAAATTTATGTAATTTTCATCTATTATAGGTCATTTAAACTTGAAGTTTCTCCGGGTTTCTTTTTGCATATTTTTTTTTCTCTCATTCGTATGTTTGCTGCTGTTGGCTGCGATTTGTTTGACTGGGTGCAAAAGTGATGTAAAACGGGAAAAATGTTTGAAACTTTTCGAAAAACTCGAAAATCATGACGTGTATACACAAGAGTACGTAAAATGAACGAATAAAACATGTCGAAATAAATGTAATTAAAGTGTAAACTTTTTTATCATATTATTTTTTGATGGCGTTGCCGTTCTGCATCGAAAAAATTGATTCGGTTTAACAAATTTGTTAGGTTATATCCCAGCCATAAGCGCTTTCATACCAAAACTCATCATCCGAGATTCAGATCATCGTCCAGATTTCCCCTTTTTTATTTTTTGTGTGTGTGTGTGGGTGCTTTTTTCTTTATTTTTATATTGCTTCTGCACTTTTGGCTTCTTTAATTAATATTAGATGAGGGCTATTTTCGTTGATGGTGTTTCCCTTCCCCCTTTTGATTCTCTACTATTGTCGCCTTTTCTCTTCCCATTTTCGTTCATGTTCACTTAAGATGATTTTAAATAGCATTTATGAAAGTTTCGGGATATATATACTTTTTGTGCCATATCGCATCTCGTTCATTACCGCTGAGACGATATCGTATGGCTTCGCTCGTCGACTTTTCAATATTTTAGTGGTCTAAAGTGAAAAGTAAGCAATTTTTAATTATAAAATGAAATTCGGCTTCATCACATTCACTTTACATGTGAGTTTTATGCGAGCGCATTATATACATACAACGAATTTTTTTTCTTTCACTTCTATTTGAAACATACAAAAATCATGATGATACATTTGGGGAATTTGATTCATTTAAAAGCGGAATTAATACGAAAATCTATAATTAATGCAAAATTTAACCAAACATTGTTTACACTTCTACAGTCAGATTAATGTGTTTTTTGCGTCGTTTTCATATATTATTATATATTTGCTTATTTTAATTACGCACGATTGCACGCCTCAAAATTCGAATTGTAAATCAATAGTAAATTATAATGATTTGGTTTTTGAAAGAAAATTCAAGTAACAAACTAATGACGTTAAAAATCGATCAATTTTCTCTTGTCGTTCGTTTTATCGCGTTGCCGCACAACAAATTGCACAGCACGCTCATGTTGATTTTTGTGGTGAATTTATCCGAATGAAAATGAAGATGCCAAAAAATGTGGTGAATGGCTGTGAACATTGACGGGCTATAATAAACTCCTCCGTCAATTTATGCAATAGAAAATGAGAATCGAGAATGTTGGAATTTATTTTGATTTCAAAGATGATGAAAATGTATGTTAATTCATTGAAATGCCTCACACAATACAATACACATCTATAAATGTGTATTCGAGCGAGTGCGATGAGAGCGAAAAAGAAAAGACGACAACGAATAAAAAAGCGAACAAAAAACGGCAAAAACCAACAAAAGTAGCCGAATTTTTACGTAGCAAATGATGAGGATAACAGAGAGAAGAGGAACATTTTTTGATGGGATTTAAATGAATTTTGTGCTCGCGCGCGTGTGTGTGTGTGAGTCTGTGCATAGCATGAAGTTGTTGGTATTGTTACTGTTGCTCTTCAGCTTTTTTCTCTGTGTTCACCATTGTGGTCCCTTCTTCTTTTCTCTTTCTCCTTTTTCCTTCGTTCTTTATTTCTTTCTTTCTTGAATAACTGTCTAGTAATTATGCAAATTAGAACGCAAACCAAGAGGGAATCAAAAATTGAGAACGAGAAATACTGAAAACGCTCACCAAAATCGCATTGAAATACTGTACGGAATTTTAGTAATTGCCGCACTTTTAATGTACGATTACATGAATCAAGAAATATTAGCTCCTCATACTATTTCGGGTTTCTGTTTTTTTTTTCGTTTCGGCTAACGACTTTTTTCTTCTCTCCATTATATTTAGGTTTCATTTTCATATTGTGTCTGTCAATTGTTGTGCCTTTCGAATAATCTATACATCGCTCAACGCGTTTGCCATAGTGAGTCATCCGATTGGAACACAAAATCGGCTGCGCCTATATACAAACATCGCACAATTTTCAACATTGAATTTTGATTATAAAATTCAAACATTTAGTATGGTAATTTTGTTGACGAAATTTCATCGGAAAATTAAATGGAAAAGCAGCAAATAGTAATTGCATGTTTAAATTCTGATAATGCTGTGTGTGTATATATATTAAAATGTTGAATTGTATTCAATGTTTCGTTCCACATTTATTTTCCACTTTTGATACAGTATTTGGCGATAGGCTGAAACACAGATCAGCATCAAATCACTCAAATTCATAAATGCATTGAAAAAAAAACAGTTCGACGAAAAATCACAGTGCACAAATGGCAGAAAAGCGGTCGTGCAATCAAATCTACCACTTGATTTGACGGAATCTCTTTGATTAAGGTTGAATGGAAAATGTAATTAAATGTAAAATTTCATCGGAAAAAGCACGCTAGAGTTCAAAGATGATGTTGATTATGATGATGATTATGAATTTTTCTTAGCATAAGAAGAAAATGAAGGGAATAAATTATATCATTTTTTCCCTTTTCTTTTTTCCGTATTTTACTTACCGGCATAGTTTGACTTCCGTGTAAACTCGTAATGGCTGCTTGAGCTTCTTGATGAGAACTAAATTTAACAAAAGCACAACCTGAAATAAATAGGAAGAAAACGTGTTAGGTCGACGTTGATTAAAATGTAAAGAAAGTGAACGTTCAAGTTTAGGATTTGTTGCATAAATAAATGTTTAATGTATATAATGATTTTGGAAAATGTCGAAAACAATGTGGATATTCATTCATTAAACGAATGGCCATTACGCTTCGAAGCCTGTTGAATTCTTCTACTAAACTTTTATCGTGGTAATTCAATGGCATAACGGTTTAGTTTTAAAGGCTTTATAAATAATTCATGCGTATTTAGCATCCCTTCTCACTCCCACTCCGATCAAACGCTGACACGTACCCTAAAATCTGCATACCTCAAACAAGACACTGAAATTGGTCACTGGAATTTCGGCCATATGAATCATAATATTCTAATCGATTTAACAGCAATAAACTGAGATTTATTGTTATCGTGTGACACAAAAAAAAAATCGGCCCGAACGAAACCCTTCTCGTTTTCATTAAAAAGAAAAATATGCGTCAACATGAATGTGTTATCTATTTATGGTAAAAGAGAGGATAGACAGAGAGTGTGTTAGTACATGAGGGAGTGTCAAATTCACCCTGCTGCGTACATAAAGTGAAAATGAAAGGCACTCTTCTCAGCCTGACCCAAGCATACCGAATACATTTTTTTATACAGCCTTTGTTTTGCGTATCTCTCTCTGAAACTGTTGAAGGGAGATCGTATTTTCGCCGCTTCCAATGTCCCTTATATTTCATTTTTCGTTTCGCTTTCACTTCCTTTCATTCGCATTTTATGTCGATTTGTGCAAGAGGAATTTGTGTGACATCAAAGTGATTTCGTATACAGTAATTTGCACTGCGCTGTTAAATGTTTCATCTTTACAATCCTTTCCACATCGTTTTCCCTCAATGTATTTTCTTCTTTTATTCTTCCTTTCTCTCTCGCCTTTTTAAAAATTTCATCTGGTTCGCCGCCAGCTAATAATTAGGGATCGGCTCTTTCGCTGTCTCTCTCGTTCTTATTTAATATATCATTGAATTTTCAATCGAATTCTTCTACTTCAAATTAAATTGAACTATTCATTGGGTTGGAACCAATAGGACTAAAATAAACTGAGATGATTAAAGAGCGAACAAGGAAACCTTATAAGAACGAAAGAAAATACTTACAAGCAAATAGTGTAGCGAATACAAGAGAATCGAAAAAGAGAAGAGGAGAGAGAGTGAATCAACGAAATTGCTCTTGTATGATTGCAATGAGAAATGAGAGAAGAAATAACTGAATTTTCGATTTGTAATGAAATTCGATTAAATTAGATTGGGAATCGGGAGGAATGGAATTGAGAATTGAGAGAAAGGGAAGTGAAGAGCAAAAGAAAAGAAACCGTGCTCACTGTTGGTTTTGCATCAACTGCAGAAGTCTAGCGAAAAGCAAACACAAAGTAAACCATAAATACACCAGGTAATTGTGTATGTAACCAATTTAGTTTCGCAAATTGTACACTGAACCTTAATTCGATAGTACTGCACATAAAGGAGAGAGAAAGAGAGAGAGAGCGGGAGAAAGAGAAAGAGGTAACAAAAACAACAAGGTAAAAATATTAATTAGTAATTTTCATTCAATAATAATTAGTCAACGTTTGAATGGGCCATGCAACAGTTATTCCACTCCAGACATGGTGGAAGGTGGGCATTTGTCGTTGAAAATCCAAACCAGTTGAATAATCGAAGTAAAATTTTCCAGTTTCAATTCATTGTGGATGGTGCAATGTCATAAGCAAGTGCAGTGTTCTATATGTAAAGAAGTGGATAGAAAAATGCATGAAAAGACCAAAGGTTGAAAGAATTTTCGTTTTTGATTCATAGCCATTATGTATTATAGTACTAATGAAAGGCGATCCGATCAAAAGCTGCTTCTATTTACAAAGTAGTATGGTTTCTCTCGATTTTATTTGTTTGTTTCCATTGAATTCAAATCAACGAAATCATGTGAAGATGTAGAACTGAGCAGAAGCCATGAAAATAATTACTTTTTCTCATCAATTATCATGAATGGTGAGTGTTAATGTAACTTTGCGTCTTATAATTGTATCATAATCATAAGTAAGTGGAAACTCTTCGTATTTTCGCTTTGATAAGTTCATTTATTATTGATAACTGAAATACCTTGCTTGGAATAGCGCTAGAAAAACAAACGAATCCATTGATTCTGCTGTACAAAGAGAGCGAGTAGTTGCTTGGATCAAATATCCGATGAGGCAAAGGCCCCATTCATAATAATGAAACAGCGTTTCACCTAGGAATTTTCATATTTATCGAGCTGAAATATTATCGTAAAATTTATCCAAGCAAAAGGATAGAGAGCGGACGAACGAGCGCGAAACAGAGCGTATATAAAAATCACTACTCATTTTTCATGCCAACCATCAAATATGCGGATTATAGTTACAATGTAAGCCACTGAATTTAATCACGAAAATTTGTCATTGTTCGACGTCGGCCACCATGTCAATTTTGCCACATTCTTCAATGGCACTTTTTTGCTTTCAAGTGTGATGAACAACCTAATTTCGACACTTTGAAGTGTGTCGAAATATTGCGATTGAAGGGTGAAAAAAAAGAGAATGTATAATATCGAAAATTTTAAAGAATGTCAAAGTTTCAAGGTACACTGTGTACGGTGAATAAAGCAAATAGCTGGCGTGCGTGAATCAAGTGAATTACAGACACTGTGGAAATGTAAAAAGTTATGAACGCGATTGCGGCAACAGCGAATGGAACGTTGAAAGGGAAATATTGTGAAAGATAGAACAAAAGAAAATATTGTAGCGAGTGTGACATAATCGTGAAGGATTTCAAATGAGATACACACTCTCAAATCGAGTAAAATGAGCAACAGAACATGGAAAATTTGAAAACCAGCAAAAAATTATATATATATATATATAAACAGATCGCTAAAAAAAGCAAAAGTAACGCGAAACGAACGAAACAAACATAAATCATAAATTATGAAGTTGTGGTAAGATTAAGGTAGAGCGAGACGAACGAGCCGTACATCTATATTAAGGGATGGAGTAAGTATGTATGTGTGTGTGTGATATGAAGAGAAGATGAACGAAAAAAAAAGAAACTTACGTAATTTATTATTAGTTTCACATTACAATGATACAAAACACCGCCGCCACCGCCTCGAAAACTTTGTGCATTTCTTTCGTTTTCATCATCAAGAATTGATGAGACATCTCTATATCTCTTTATGTGTCGGTGACTTACTTATTGCTTATGCCAGAGAATGGCTACAAATAAACTAAAAGATATCTGAGATATAAAAGCGGTGGCGACGACGACGACAAACAGGTACGAATCATATTACATTTCTTGAGATTTTATTATGTGCGTCGCCATGATAAAGTGTATAATGGCTACAATATATTCGTGCTGTATAGCGCGAATCATATTGTAAAATATATGAAAATTGTTTTTTTCTATAACGTACATATACATTCTCTGTTGTTTCTTTTTTGTTTCATTATTTTGCAGTGTAAAAATAGAGCTGGATCCTACAGTCGGCGTGGCGTATGCGTTCAAAGATAAAAGCTTGTGCCTTGTAACTTTTAGATCGTATGATTCGTATACGTTAGTTCATACATTACATACGATGTAGCATATTTCTTGAATAAAACGTCTTGTAGTTTTAACAATATAATTTTAAATGTTTCTTTGCTCTTCTTTCTCTTGACGCAAAGCCTGTGTAAGTGTGTGTGTGTTTCAGCCTCAGGACTCACAGACAACAATTCGAAATACGTTACATAGATATAATTGCATTATATGAATGAACACGAATGCTGTCGTCATTCGAACAAAGTTTCAAAGAACTTTACTTCTTCCGAAGCTAAATTACACATATTATGATTACATTTTCTTTCTTTCACAGCTGCCAAGCAAATAGTTATTTAGACGAAGAGGTGAAGCGAATGTACGATAGCGCGCGCACAATGATAGATATGAAGTGAGAACCAGAGGGGCGAGAGAAGGAGCGGGGACGATGGTGAAAGATGAGGTGGAGATATAGAGGTTTGCACACGGAGATCTCTGCCATATACAATGCTATAGACGACATATTACTTGTTATAGAAATTTCGACATAAAATGTCGCCATTTTGCCGGTTGTCTCGACTTAGTTCACTAACTAGTGAACATCATTTCACATGTGCGTTTGACGGAGTAAAGAGCTGTACTTTTTCCAAGTGAGAAAATTGAGATGAAAAATTTTCTTCATCGCTTGAATCATATCAGATCGAAAGGGAGTGGAAACAACAACGACACTTGAAAATGAAAAAAAAAAAAAAATTGTCAGCAATAATGTTATACATTGTGAATGGTAGGAGCATATCATATGGATATGATACATTGACATTTGACGAGTATGTTACTCTATCAATGCCCGTACATTTTATTTTGCAGTTACATTTGCTAAAGTGCGCATTGTTGAATTGCGACGAAGAACATTCGAGCAAAATTATCGAAATAACAGGAAATGAGTTTATTGAAGCAGGAAATTAGGTTTTTGCATTACTACAAAAAAAGGAACGAGAGAGACACACACGCACACACATAGATACAGAACGAGAAGAAGAGATCGACAACTGAAATGTTGCAAGCAGAGCGAATGGATGAGATATGTTATATAAGGAAAAAGCGGTAAAGAAGCATCATTCACTCAAATGAATACAAACTCGTCATGTGTAATTTATGCATACTTAATCTTATGCCATCATCCAGGTCAGAGATCTGTGCGCGTTGAGAATATCGGGCCGTGTGGCTCCAAAGTTTTTTGCTTCGTTTCTTGTTTCGTTTTTTTTATTGCATATCAAACCCCCTCGATGCTGACGTTGAGTAAGTATATGTGTGCTGTATCATGTATAGCGTTGTATGTTTTGTTGTACGGTTTCGCTTAAAATTTATTGTTCATAGTTCAAAGTTGCACAAAGATACGTACAGTTTACAAAATACG